CCCTCCTTCCGTCCACGTCACCGGTGACCAGCTTTCATATACTAACTCCGGCGGGGCCCACTTAAAAAGGTAAAGCGAAAAGTACCCATCGCTCGCTCAGAGCCGTCAGCTCTTTTTCCAACGGACCGTATTGTCCTTCACTCTGAGGCTAAAAGATGCTACGCGCTCGTCACGTGAGCAGCCGATGGAATCAAAAGAGAGCTTAACTGATCTGGACCGTTGATTGCGGTGTTTTGCGGGTGGGGTGACCGAAACGTGACGGTAAAGTGGACAAACAATGGATAAGTGCAGGCCGCTTTCCCTGGAGAAAGCGAGAACTTTTTCGCTTTTCCCGGTATCTTCTCCTTATTTTATTGCTGAGAGTGGCGTGCGGCCTATGCACTGAATTCTCGGTGTAGAAGAGCTTTTATACTCCTTGAAATTTAGGGGCTCTTTCGTTCAAACAAATTTTTAACATTTGATGTGCATTATAAATTTTAAAATTAACAATTATGTTTTTGAATTTTTAGATTTCAAGATTGATGTCTACTTTAATATTTTTTTTTAGAATGTTGAATCATAAAAGTATAAATAACATCAGGTTTTTAGAATTTGTCAAACCCTCTCGATTGGAGAGGACTTGGCAAATCTCATAAATGGATATGTTTATCATTCTTTCTATTCCCTTATATTTTATTTTCTTGTTAGAGGTAACCTCACTAAGGTAATTATATTCATCTCTCCTTCTTTTTTAGAATTTGCTCTCCTATAATTTGGGCTTGAATCAAACAAGATATTACAAATTGTCGGATTTGCTTTCCTATAATAATGTCGAACCAAATAAAATATCAGAAATTTCCAAGCATGTATAAAACCCTATGGATTTAAAATTTTCAATGAGATTACAAATCCTAAAATTATAACATTTGAACCAAACAGCCCCTCAGACCATTTTTAATATTTAGCTGATAATATTTTGTTAGTGAAAAAGCATAATGCTCAATGTCACTGCGTGGTTACCATGTTTTACCGATAAAGGCCTTGTAGTCCATAAAATTCTCAAATTTTCATTAAAACCCTGTCACTCACAGAAATTGTGTAGAACCAAAATTAATTTTCTACTGAAAAGATACAACTAGTTTTGACTAAAAGTTGTCTCGAACATAGATGAAAATTGGAATCAACCAGGAGATCTTTATATGAACTTCTCTCTCTTTAATTGCGTATTTTGCTAATTAAGATAACGTGCGTCTTGCGATCAAATTTTCATTCGGTTTTTTATTCAACCAAATAAAATAAAATAAAATGATCAAAATGTCAAGTAAACTGAAGTTTTCTTATATTATCGGGGATTTCAGAACCCAAGATTCTAACACCAAACATCCTCTAATGTATAATATTGAAAAACATTGAATGTTCAAACTAAATGTTAATAATCAAAGATTTCATATCGTTGATTTGATGCTCTTAAAGTGCTCTTAAACTTTAAACTGACGTAGCATCGAATAAAAACGCTGGGCTTCGGATGACAAAACGAACATGAAGACAAAGATCGGAATAGTACTTAATATGTACTCTTGGGCAAAAATTAAAAGTTAGGTATAACGAACTTTTCAATGTTTCACTCCTCTTTGCGGGCTCCAGTTGGGTAGAGTGAAGCTCAAATGCCATGTATAGTTTGAGCGCACTACTAGCTGTTTGGTTGTGTCGATATGGAGCTGTAAATTAATGTGAATATAATAATCGCATTTATATTTCCCTTGTTGGGATAAAAAGATGCGCATGCTTCAGAAAATAAAATAAAAAAGAAATCACATAAAGAAAAGTCTAAATAGAAAAATAATTTTCGCTCGCGTACGTGTCCAATTGTATGATAAAAACTTACAGCTTCTACGCAAAATTGTTTTTTTTTCAAATAAATGTTGTTTACGTTCGAGTCACAATAAAACTGTAGGTATCAAAAATTTAGATTTGAAGTTAATTCCTACAGCGAAGGGTGCACGCAATATTTATTGCTACTATTTTATCTTTGCGGCAAACTAAATAGACAATGGACAACATATATATATGCCTCCACCATTTCTGCCTGAAAAAGAAATAAAAGAAAATAACATAGGTTTACATGACCATATTTTAGCATTCTTTCATTTTATGTGTAGCAGAGCAGACAACAATTTTAGTGATATATAAATTGACTACATAGTTAATAAAAAATTTTCATTAAAGGATTTTCCATCATTGGAGAAAAATATTTTTAACTTTTTTGTTTTATCTCTTAGATATCTTATTTAGTGGACAAAGCGGATACAAATATTAAACTCCTTTTAAAGGACAAAAGAGATCCACCTCCGCAAGTTTTACCATGTGTTGTATCTTAAAATCTAGCCTCAAAACCAAACCACAACCACAACTTCTTCCCCCCCTTTTTTTCAACCTTATTAGTTTATTTTCTCATTCCCTCTCAACCACAAATGGAAGATCTCATGCCAAGAACAATGTCCATCCTCACAAGGAGCAGGATAATATCTTGGGCCCCAACATATATCTTTTTGCTGTGCTATGCAGGCCACATAAGCTAAAGGTCCATGAAAGCTCATGATGACCGACAAATGTCGGTTTCAAACACGCGAGATGTGGTTAAGGCTTACCGTATCCAAGATCGGGTTGGGGGAAAAAAATCTTGAATGGGTGGCGAGAGAATGAGCTTGACTTAGAAGCCATGGCGTAATCTCACCCTCATTTTGTGGCCTTGATGGGCCCACTTGTGGAGGTTTGAGTAAAAACACTTGTAACATTTTACCATATCTATGGGAATAAAAAAATTCCCCATATTTAATTAATTATATTTTGGAAAAATTACTTCTAGCCCCAAAAACTCTAACAAGTATCCCCCCACCCCCCAAGGCTTTTTCAACGATCCCAAAGCCCCCAAAATTCCTTTAGTCTCCTCACGTGTATTTTCAAACATAAGAAGACCAAAATACCCTCAAGTAATCGTTTCACTTTTTCAAGCCGGTCATCGGAGAAGGAGAAGGAGTATTGTAGGTATTTATGGTGATTAGAAAGTGATTTTAGAGGGAAAAAACCACATTTCCATTCAAATTCTAATCATCTCCTCCTTACCCCAACTACTCTCTCCCGGCCATTTAATTCTCCTTCATAAATCTTTTTTGATTTTTCAACTGCATTTCTTCAAAATGACGAATGGTCCCTTCTTTGCATGGTTACAAACACAAAAAGCAACAAAGAGGATGAGCGTGTTTCCGTAGTTATCAATAAGTCTACAAAAATCATTAACTTGAAATATCAAGTGTCTCAAAGGTTTAAACTATCATTACAATCTCTTTCACTAAAATTCAAATTCGAAAGGGAAAAGAAGTTTAGGTTTGCAATTGATAATGACGACGACTTGAGGTTGATGTTAGAGTGTTGTCGTCATAATGGATTTACAGACATAAACTTATATACTACCTCAGCTAGGAAATCTTCAACTTCTAAGAACACCCAAACTTCTCCAAAAAATGTGTAAGCATTTCAATTTTAATTTCCTTATGATTTCATTGTTCGGCTATGAGTTGGTTTGTTAACCTTATGCATTGGTTGTGGGGGTTTTGAGTTGGTTGTTAAGGTTATGAGTTAATTGTCAACCTTTATGAGATAGTTATGCGTTGGTTGCTAAGGTTATGAGTTGGTTGTTAATGTTATTAGTTGGTTATTAACCTTAGTAGATATTTATGAGTTTTTGTTAGCCTTATGAGTTGGTTGTTCAAATTATGGCTGGTTGTTACTTATTAAAGTTTTTTCTTACTGTTGATGTTAAGTGATCACACAGTCAATTATATTTGTAGTTGGATGGAGGTGAAGTTAATGAGGGGCTGCTTTCTTCCCCGAATATCTAGTTCTGAGTTGGGTGGTTGAAAAGTCTGCACATATAAAAACATGTGAGAGGACGGGGACTGGTTCCCCGTGGTTCCTCTGATGATCAAGTCAGTTGGTTAACTTGAG